CCACCTCCCCCCAACCCCCCCCCCGCCCTCCCCTGGGCAGTACCACACCACCTTCTGGACAGATACAGAACTACCAACAGTGAGTTACTTCCATTCCTTGATGTATACATCTGAGATTTAGCCATTACAATGTATTCATTATTGTGACCACTCTTTCTTTGTAGGGTAGTAGCGCTTCCTTTTCTGCTTTTTAGCCATCTAGAACAGCCTTTCTTAACCAGGGTGCTGTAACACCCTGGTGTGCCTTCTGGCATTGTTTGGGGTGACTTCAAATTTTTGCACAGCATCATGCATTATCATGGTGTAGGTGACTTTGCCACCAGCACCATAGAAATGCATGATGCTTATCCAGGGCGGGCTGCATCCAGGACCTCCCCTAGCATTCAGAGGAGAATAGAAATCCACCTCCACCCCACTGCCATGCTGCTTAGATTATAAGGTAGGACTCTTATGTTAAGGAAGGACTGAGGACTCTCTTGCGAAGGGGGCTCCTGATGTGAAAGGGGGACTGCGATGGGAAGGGGGCTCTGATGGGAAGCAGTGCTTCTGATATGGAAGTAGGATACTCTGATGTGTAGAGGGGGACTCCTTGTCTTTTTTCTTTTGTGTGTGGTACTCATTACCAGACCCTTATAAGGGATACGAGTCTAGTACAGATTTTGGCAGAAGCTAAAGTACTTTTTTACATTTACATTTTGTACTGGGGTGCCTTGAGATTCTGCATACTTTTAAAGGGTGCCGTGACTGTAAAAAGGTTGTGAAACGCTGATCTAGAACACAGTGTTCCACAGCTCATCTTTCTAAGCTGCCAAAAGATTATTTCTCAATGGCTATTATGGGTTAACTTAAGTTACTGCTTTTTGTGGTATGTGATTACATAGGATGGAGTTATTGATTAGTCTTACCAAAATACATTTCTTCTCATAGCTGAAGATCTGGGCGTCAATTTTAAATTTCTCTCCTTGTACCACAGAGTAAGGTATAATTAAGTCAATGAAATAAGGCTGGAAGGTGACAAGTCCAACATTTCTTATCTCCCCAATACTGGATTTCCCCAAGCACACAGCGTCCGTCTCCCATTTGGTGATACTGTCTGGTGTTGTCAGGTTTAGCACAGTGTGGCCATCTGGGCTGTAAGGGAAAAAAGGGGCAGATTAAGCCAAACTGATTAACATAAAGTTTAAACACCTGTATAAGAACGGTTTTACCAGCCAAAAATTACTAAAGTGGTGTAAATACTCTTATGATCCAAATACACCTGCTGTTCTCTAGGGATTTACACTACAAGGGAGGTGACAGCACCTTACAGAACCTGCAAGTCTGTGGTCGCTGTCACTGCTGCCCCCTGCCTGCTCGTTGGGATACTAGTCAACTCATGGTGACCACATTAGTGACACCCTGCTAAGGATTTTCATCCATGGACCCTGAAGGCACACAACCTTTGGTGCTCTGTCAGAGTCACCTCTGATACAAATAACTATTTCTTCATTTAATTGTATGATCCTGGCTAATATTGTCAAAATGTGTAAATATTGTTATATCAAATAACTGAATTTTTATTAATAGGAAAAAACATTGTGGATCAGCACCTTCTAGTACATCCAGCCACCCTTTTAAGGCCACATTACTCCCCTTTCCCATCCCATTCATTAGCTTTCAGGCTAGATATACTCATTGCAATCTTCAATTTGTCTTTCAGTTTGCTTTTGGCAACTCAGATTTTAAGTAAACCTAAAACTTACTTCAGGCTTTTCAAAAGGGCCCTATATTCTATGACAGTGGTTCTCAACCTGTGGGTCGGGACCCCCTCGGGGGTCGAATGACGATTTGCCAGGGGTCGCCTAGTCAGAAAAAAAAAAAGACCACCATAGGAATGCATAGCTAGATTCCTATTGGCTATTTCACTTTGCAAAAGCCAATAGCAAACTAGCTATTGCAACCGTCCTCTGATGCTGCCAATCAGCAGAGGGGGACCTGAAGTTCGGCACGTGGAGCTGCGAACACGCCCAAGCTCATCCCCATCAGTGACAGTACTGCAGAGTATGTACCTCACACTTTAAATCCAATTCTTCTAGTTCCAGCTGCAGAGCCCGGTCCGGTCTTTGCCTATAGCAGTGGTTCTCAACCTGTGGGTCGCTGTGCAAGGTGAGAGTCCTCCTCAGCTCTCTCCTAGCGCAGCAGTGTCAGTTCTCCCGCCACGCCTCCAGATGTCGCTGCAGCAGCCGCGTCATCCCTAAATTTTACCTTTGGGGGTCACCACAACTTGGCAAATATTACCAAGGGGTTCCGGCCCTAGTAAGGTTGAGAACCACTGTTCTATGACATTAAAGGAGAACTATGAGATGAGTGATTTCCACTCACCTCATAGTTCTAAGCCGACCTGTGACAATGAGACTGTCACAGGTCGGCTCAGTAGACCGGGAGGGGAGGGAACACATACCGGGTTCCCTCACCTCTCGATCCTGTCACGGCTCTCTGCCGTGACAGGGGGAGGGGCTGTATTCCCCTCTCCCCGCTCCGATCTGCCAGCGCTGACTGGCGGAACGGACGGGGGAGGGGGCGGGTACAGCTGGCTCTGCCTCTAGATAGGCAAAGCCAGCTGTCACTCACGCAGCTGGGCGGATCCATCATCTACGTCGGGAATGAGCTTAGGGTAACGGGAGGACGCTAGTTTGTGTCCTCCCGTTACCCTAAGGAGAACTATGGGGAAAAACACTGACCCCATAGTTCTCCTTTAAGGCATCATATATATATATCTTTTCCTGCAGGCATTGGTGCATAATGTGTAAGTGTAAAACTTGCAGGTAATTATTACCTTTCCCAGAGCCAAAGTACCCTATGAATGACATCAGCATCTACTTGCTGGGCTAAGATTTTGCCTCAGAGATGATGCAATGTAAATCTCGTTGCCTGTCAAATTGTTGTTACTGTATGTTCTTGACACATATTGTTTTACAATGATCAACCCCTTGCTCTGTGACTTACCATAATCTATGAGTAAAAAAACAAAACTTTCATATGATAAGGATTTTTTTGTTTTAGTTTGATCAGTCTTTAATTTAATCAGTCTGAGAAAAAAGAAACTTACTGTTTTTCAAA